GAATCAAGGCACGAGGTTTTTTATATATCTATATATATAACATGTCGAAAACGATGCCGGCGCCGAACGACAACGAACCACGAAACGGGCGTTCAGAGAACAACAGAAAACCAAGCTTGATAAACAACAAGACACAATCATAACAAACAAGGGCCTAAACCAGACTATACAACATTGTGGTTGGTCCCTGTTGATTTCGACCCTGGCTGTCTTCGCGACGTCGGCGCTCCTGGCCGCATCATTGCTGCCGGGGGCTCCTGGTCCGTTCTCGCAAACTGCGCGCGCGCCGTCCTCCTCCTGCCAGTTGCGTTTGTTGAACGTCAGTGATTCCATCGCTCGAGTAGGGGATCGACTACAGAGTTGATTCACCCCCGAGCCGGGTCTACGGCAGCAGTGCGTACTTTGTCCCGTAGATCTACGAACATGCTACGTGTGTCCTGTATTTTCGGCCGGAAATCAATTTTCGAGCAAATCAAATTATTTCACGACTCGAATCGCCTTTCGCATGGGCCAATTCATGGATTTACTGGCGGCCCCCACTGACGGATGCTCATTTGAATGCGCCCGCGTGAGTCGCCGCGTGCTCGAGAATGCCGCCCCTGCCAGCATCGCGACCGAGGAATGCCTCGACGTGCGATCGGACACTTGCGATGCGCAAACCGCCCTTCGCCGATACTACGACGATGTGCAAGCATTTTTCTCTTGCAGTGGATGGTGATGAGCGGCTCCGTGGTAGCCCTTGCGATGACTTTCGCGGCCCTGCAACTCTGGCCCGCAATCGTCCTCGCCGCGGGCGCCGCCTATGCGCGTCTGGGCAACCGCACTCTGTGCACGTGCTTTGGCTGGCAGCCCTTCGGCGTAAACTGCCCCAGCGAATTCCATTACTGGACCCAGCGAAGTGCCACTCCGAGACGTGGCGTCGACCTGCCGTTTCGGTCGAGAGTTTCGCGTGTGCCCTCGCCACTTCTGTCGACAACCCAATGGCTTTCGGGGTTGCCCCAGAAGCTGCGTCATTCATCCTCATCGACTGCGATCACTTGAAGCACTGCTGATCTTTGAATTTCGATCAGAACTCCATGGGAGACATGGCGCGCTAAGGTTTCACGGGCGGCGCCGCAGTCAGCTGCAAATTGCAGCGGCGGACGACAATCAAATGTCTCGAACATCACCTCGGCGACGGTGGTGACATCACGACTTGCCTCAGCTTCACCACCCGCAACATGTGGACGCAATCTGGGGAACTCTGCCCATGTGACATCAGACCGCCCTCATCAACGCGAAGTCGCGTACCACGTGAACCTCCATCATGCCTATATCGTCGTTGCCCTGGAGGGCGCCGCCGACAAGATCGACGGCATCCAGCGCAAGATGGTGCACGCCGCAGCAATCGTGAAGCCCAATACCTTTGAGTCTTTTGCCGCGTACGTGCACCGACGCCTGAGCATCGCTGGTGGCTGCGCGACGACCGTCGGGAGAAAAAGGAGCCTTGACTGGGCTGGAGTCGCGGCACAACCATGCCGAGTTACACCGCGCCCCGTGTGCCTGGCATTGGCCGCTGCTCCATTGGCGCGCCAGCGATTGGCTCCAACGCCAGCGCGACGCGGCTTCCTCCGCCAACGAAGCCCGCTCTCGTACGAAAGTCAGCCATGGCAACCTGCAACGGAGATGGGGGGACAGACTCCGGGAAGTCGTCCATGCAGCGGTTCTGTGGGCGCAGACCAGCTGACTTTCACCTGGATCGGCGCATGCCCTTCTCCACATTGATATCGTCGAAGCAATCCAGCATCTGGCATTCAATTGAAAAGTTCTCTGCGCATTCCGCAGTGCGCATTGAGTCTGCCTGCGTTGGCTATGGTACTGGGTTGTGCAATCGCTCGCGTAACAAAATCAACAGAGGGCACGGAGGCGACATGGGCAGGCCACGTCCATTCCATTCCAGGACTGCTGGGAAGCTCCATCGCCACGACAACTCAAAACGGCAAGCTGTTCCTCATGTCGGGCCCTTACTTACCGTGCGAACCCCGGCAGATGCGCGGCGGGTGTACCCCGAACCTCCAAAAACGAACATACAACTGACGACACACTGTTGCATCTGTTTATCGGCAGGTTCCGGGGCCGACGGCATCGAGCCCAGGGGCCCATGCGCCAAATCTGTTTGACAACCCCGAGTCCGATGTGTGAACGACGCATGGCGTGACAAAAGGCGTCAACACCATCCCAAGTCGAATCTTCCGTCGGATCTGCAGCGGATTCCACCAAACCCTGTCCACTGGCAAAACAGTGAAGATGTACCGAGCCGAACTGCCAAACAAAATTATGCCAAGAATCGAGCGCGAATCCGCTTGAGTTTTCTCAAACGAATCTGGCGGGCAATCGCACTCAACTTTTACAAGGTGAAATGCAATCGTCGTTCGTTTCAGGTTGCGTGCGTGTTTCAGGATGCCCCTTAGGCTGTCTGCCCATGTGAACTACGTGCGACAATTCTTTGACGCCGATCCACTCGTGCATCGGGCATAATGCCGTTGCAAGCCCTGGGGCCGTCGCACAAACTAACCCAAATCGATTGCAGGGGGCCCAAGGACGCACATAAATACACACAAATACCAGGGCCCCCCATATTTCCCAACATGTTTCGTGGGGTTATGTTTTTTCCCTTCCGCGCCGCACCCGCGTCTCACACCTCCCCCCTCCCCTTCTCCTTCTCGCACTAAAGCGGGTGTGCAGGGGGGTGGTCCCTGAGCTCGGGAGGCGTGGCATTTCCTCGACGCCACAAGGGGTGCGCTGGGGGTGGGGGCCCTGTGTTTTCCGGTCTCGCAAAGCGTGGCAGGCGTTGCATTTCCTCGACGCCACACGGGGTGCGCTGGGGGTGGGGGCCCACCGCGGTCTCTATACGCGCCAATGTCGCAGGGCCTAGCAGCTAGCAGGCGTGGCATTTCCTCGACGCCAAAGGGGGTGCGCTGGGAATGGGGCCCCCCCCGCGGTCTCTAGACCCGCCAGTGTCGCAGGGCCTAACAGGAATGGCATTTCCTCGACGCCACAGGGAGTGCGCTGGGGGTGGGGGCCCACCGCGGCCCCTATACGCGCCAATGTCGCAGGGCCTAGCAGGAGTGGCACTTTCTCGGCGCCACAGGGGGTGCGCTGGGGGTGGGGGCCCACCGCGGTCTCTATACGCGCCAATGTCGCAGGGCCTAGCAGTCGTGGCACTTTCTCGACGCCACAAGGGGGTGCGGTAGGGGTGGGGGCCCACCGCGGTCTCTATACGCGCCAATGTCGCAGGGCCTAGCAGGAGTGGCATTTCCTCGACGCCACAGGGGGTGCGCTGGGGGTGGGGGCCCACCGCGGTCTTTACACGCGCACATTGTCGCAGGGCCTAGCAGGAGTGGCATTTCCTCGACGCCACAGGGGGTGCGCTGGGGGTGGGGGCCCACCGCGGTCTCTATACGCGCCAATGTCGCAGGGTAGCAGGCGTGGCATTTCCGCTGGGGGTGGGGGCCCACCGCGGCCCTATACGCGCCAATGTCGCAGGGCCTAGCAGCGTGGCACTTTCTCGGCGCCACAGGGGGTGCGCTGGGGGTGGGGGCCCACCGCGGTCTCTACGCGCCAATGTCGCAGGGCCTAGCAGTCGTGGCACTTTCTCGACGCAAGGGGGGCGGTGGGGGCCCACCGCGGTCTCTATACGCGCCAATGTCGCAGGGCCTAGCAGGAGTGGCATTTCCTCGACGCCACAGGGGGTGCGCTGGGGGTGGGGGCCCACCGCGGTCTTTACACGCGCAATTGTCGCAGGGCCTAGCAGGAGTGGCATTTCCTCGACGCCACAGGGGGTGCGCTGGGGGTGGGGGCCCACCGCGGTCTCTATACGCGCCAATGTCGCAGGGCATAGCAGGCGTGGCATTTCCGCTGGGGGTGGGGGCCCACCGCGGTCTCTATACGCGCCAATGTCGCAGGGCCTAACAGGAGTGGCATTTCCTCGACGCCACAGGGGGTGCGCTGGGGGTGGGGGCCCACCGCGGTCTCTATGCGCGCCCATGTCGCAGGGCCTAGCAGTCGTGGCACTTTCTCGACGCCACAGGGGGTGCGCTGGGGGTGGCGGCCCACCGCGGTCTCTATACGCGCCAATGCCGCAGGGCCTAGCAGGCGTGGCATTTTTCTCGACACCGGAGGGGTGCGCTGCAAGCTCCCAGGGCGTGGCAGGCGTGGCATTCCCTCGACGCCACAGGGGGTGCGCTGGGGGTGGGTCTGGTGGGCCACAGGGGGTACGACGACGCTTGTTTGTCTGGTTGGTCTGGTTGGCGTGGTCTGGTTGGTCAGTTCTTGTTGGTCTGGCCCAGTTGTTGTGCTTGGTTGGCCTGGCTGGCTCGTGTGGTTAGTCCGGCTGGTTCTGGCTGCGGTTGTTGGCATGACTAATCTGGTTGGTCTGGCTGGTCTGCTTGATTGGCCTGGCTGGCTGGTCTGATTACTTTGGCTGGTTATGGCTGGAACGAATGATCTGGCTGGTCTGGTCAGTCTGGCTGGTCTGGCTGATCTGGCTGGTCTGGTCAGTCTCTCGTCAGGATGGCAAAGCGAGATGTGACATGGTTTGTGAACACACGTGGCATAAAATAAGTATGTGGGGTTCCTCGGTAGCGTAATTCCCCACATGTTCTGGGTTTTTGTCATCCCCCCCACTTCCAAAATCTTCCCATATTTTCCTGGGAGTCGACGATTCATTGTGTCAGTGTTTCTTCCCTTCCTGATCGATTTCTTGATAGGGGTCAATAGCTCTGGGGGCCCACGTCCACGTCAGGGGCATATTAGAGATCTGGGTTGCGAGCCCCGGCGCAGACGATTCCCCCTGTAAGGAGTGAGGGAACGCCTCCTGCGCATCCTCCTCCTCCTCCTCCTCCTCCTCCTCCTCCTCCTCCTCCTCCTCCTCCTCCTGCTGCCCCCTCGCCTCCCCCTTCAGAGGTCTTCCCCCCTGTAATCTGTCCCCCGCGTCGCGTGCGCAGGGGCGGTGGGCGCACCGGTCCAGCTGGCGGCTCACGCCTCCGAGCGGGTGGGGTGGAGGGGGCCCGACTGGAGCTGGGCATCGCTCGGACGTCCATTTCCTGTGTTTTTTGGTTCCGTGCGTGGCTTTTTCGCCAAATGATCAAGGATGCTTCTCGATGCTCCTCGCCGAAGGAAAAATGCACACGTCCAAGCGATGCCAACGGAGTGGGCATGGGGAGAGAGGAAGGTGGACGAGAGATCGGCACATGACGCAGGCGCCTGGGACGAGGTCCAGAGGGGGGCCCACGGGGCGATTGGAAAGGGGCCGCGCCAGCCCCTCTCCCAAACCGCGGGGGCCCCCCCGAACACCACAGGCCACCCGTGGAGTGCTGGTTCCCTTGACCGGAGCGCGAGCCCTCCGCGGGGGGGCCGGCGGAGGCGGGAGGGAACAATCGCAGGCAGCACTAGGGGCGAGCGGGGGGGGAGGGAACCAAACTTCGGGAAGCTCTGGCTCATGCCGAGGTCCGGTGACAGCGGCCCGAAGGTGGCACACGGCAACATGGCACGAGAGACGACGCCCTCGCACCACCTGGCCATGACACCACCCAAACAGGGGGGGGGAGGGAGGGCCGGGAATAAAAGTAGGAACAAGGAAAGGCGACACCAACACCAACAGGGCGAGGAGATGCGCGGAGGCAAGGGGGGTCTCCCTGGTGGTGTGGTCCGCTCCTCTCGCTCGAGACATCCCCAGTCTCCCGCTCGGGGAGGCATTGTGGACCTCCTCGCTGGAGGTGGGCCCCCTGGTGGAGTTGGTATCGCTCCTCCTCCCTCCGATGAAAGGGGGAGGGAAGGGAGGGATGAGACAGAGGGAGGAAGCGTAGAAGAGGAAGGAGGAGGAGGGAGGAGAGGGCCAGCGAGAGACAGTCCTGCCGCTCCTCCTCCGGGGAGGATTTCCAGGAAAGAAACCAGGGAAAGGATACCTAGGTAGGGCACCTGGGCGTTTCGTGGCACGTCAGTGCCCACAAGAGGAACATTAACGACATACATGCATATATATATATATTATATATATATATATATATATATATATATATATATACATATAGACACACTAGAAGCGCTCTCTCTCTCTCTCTCTCTCTTACACACACATACACACTGAAACGCACACACAACACACAACACACAGCACACAACCCACACCACACAACACACAACACACACACACGCACAAACAACACAGACGCGCGCGCAGATTCCAATCAGAGAAATAAATGCCACATCCGACCTTCTACATTCCTTTCTCGCAACATCGTGCGACGGCTTGCAGGAATAGCAACACTCTAACAGGAAGCTCGAGGAGGCCTTGAACAGAGGCGGGAGGGTACCTGCGCTCTGTCCTCACATTCCTTCTCCTGCTCCTCTTTCGACATCTTGTTATTATCATCAGTGTTGTGTTTCCTCGCGCGCTTTGCGCAAGCGGGGATCCTTGCCCGGGGCACCACAACGTCAGAACACAATTTGTTTATGTCTCGACCTCCTCTTAGGTATCTCGCATTTGGGAAATATCACCCCCTCGTCCATTGCTGTTCCTTTCTCCTGCACTTCCAATCCTGTTCATCCTCTTCCGCTTCCGGCCCCCACTATTCCCGTAGAGGGGGGGCCCTCTTGAGAGGCCCTTGGAATAATCACCTTGGGCGCCCTGCGGGCCCTCTTGGGGGCGTCTTGAAAACTCCTTGGGCAATCTGGGGGCGCTTTCAGCGGTCTTGGCGCGGTTATGGGCCGTCTCGGGGTCCTCTTGGGCCGTCTGGGAGCCCCAGGGGCGTTCTTTGGGCGCGCGCTCTTTCTGGGGCCCTGGTGGCGCGTGCCGAGGCCCGATTATGAAGGGGCCTTGGGACACACACAGAAATACACACAGATAACAGGATCCCCCATATTTTCCCATATTTTCGGGATGTTCGTCTTCCCCCCCACTTCCCATATTTTTGCATATTTTCCTGGAAGTCGACGATCAATTGTGTCTGTGTGTTTCTTTCCCGCCTGAGTTATGGGCCGTCTCGGGGTCCTCTTGGGCCGTCTGGGAGCCCCAGGGGCGTTCTTTGGGCGCGCGCTCTTTCTGGGGCCCTGGTGGCGCGTGCCGAGGCCCGATTATGAAGGGGCCTTGGGACACACACAGAAATACACACAGATAACAGGATCCCTCATATTTTCCGACATGTTCGGGATGTTCGTCTTCCCCCCCACTGCCCATATTTTCCACATATTGTCCTGGGAGTCGACGATGAATTGTGTCAGTGTGTTTCTCCCCCTCCTGAGATCAGACTGTATCGGGGCGTCCTGGGGGGGCCCTTGCGCCTTCCGTGCGCGATCCGAGATGACCATGGGGCCGTGTTCCGGCGTCGGAGAAGCTCGAACCTACGAGAGGCCAACACACACCTGAGGCAACCATGCGAAAACACATTACTCCAGATTTCGTAATAAAAGGGAGGGGGTCTGGATCCTCCAAGACAAGCCATTTCAGACCTCCCCCGTGGGAGAACCCTCCAACACATCGTCCCCAGACCCCCCAGCCCCTCCAAGATAGCCTGGAAGAGACCCCCCCCCGAAATGAGACCCCCCTCCCTTTATTACGAAATCTGGAGTATGTGTTCTTCTTGGGGCCCGCCGGACGTCCTCATGATGGGCTCGGGGAGCGACTTGTGGGCTTTCGGGGGTAATCGTGGGGCATCGTGAGCGGTCTTGGCGACGTTATGGGCTGTATCCGAATCATTTTGAGCTGTATTGGGGGCCTCTGGCGCGGTCTTGGTGCTACCTTTGGCCGTCTTTGGGTGCTCGTGGGGGCCTTTTCCGCCTTCACGGGCCATGTCGCCGTCATGGGGGATCGGAAACCCGACGAGGCGAGGAGGCCAACCACTTTCAAACAAGATGCTGCAACACCGGTGGATCTTGCTTGTGTGGGGGCCCTCTAGAACGTGCTCTTGATGACCTTGGGCAGCGTATTGGGGGCTCTTCTGGGGCAATCTGGGGATTCATGAGCGGTCTTGGTGTCGAACTGGGCCGTCTCCAGGTCCTCTTGGGCCGTCTGCGACCCTCTGGGTCGCACTTGGGGTGCTCTTGGACGCCCGCTGTGGGCCGTCGTGGGGCGTCCTGAAGCCTTCTTTGGCCGTCTCGGGACTTCTTGGGCCGTCTCAGGACTTCTTGGGCCGTCCGGGGGCGCTCTTGGGGGACTCTTGGGTCGTCTCAGGGCGACCCAGGAGGCTCCTCGGTCCGTCTTGGTCTGCGCGAAGGCCGTGACCGCGAGAACGCTAGGAGCACCCAAACACCTTTTGACATCAATGGCATTTACCTCTGGAGACCCTCTTGGGGGTCCTGGGTACTCTTGGAGCGCTCTTGGACTGTCTTGGGGCCCCGAGTCTCGAACCATCATGGGTGTTAGGCCGCCTTTGAAGCCTTTTAGGCCGTCTTGGAAGCCTCTTCGCCGCTCCACCAAGCCCAAGGAAGACCCCCGGGACCGCTGTGTGTTGGCCAGGTCCCGTTCTGGGGCTACATCCGCTGCCACCAACTGGATGTATTATATGTCTACGTAGCACCCCGCAATTGCGGATAAGAGTGAGGGGGCGGGCGCGGGCGACGCGGGCGTCGTCGAGCCGGCGGACCTCGTGGCCCCCACCTTCCCTGTCGATGGCGCCCTCCTCCTCCTCCTCCTCCTCTCCTCATCCTCTTCCTCGTCCTCGTCCTCGTCCTCATCGTCATCGTCATCCTCCTCCTCCACCTCGTCCTCCTCGTCCTCCTCGTCCTCGTCCTCCTCCTCCTCCTCCTCCTCCTCCCCCTCGTCCTTCCATCATCGTCCTCCCATTGTCGTCCTCCCCCTCATCGGCCTCCATCATCGTCCTCCCATTGTCGTCCATCATCATCATCCTCCCCCTCCTCCCCCTCCCCGTCCTCTCCTCCTCCTCCCCTCCCCCTCCTCCCCCTCCTCGTCCTCCTCGTCCTCCTCCTCCTCCTCCTCCTCCTCCACATTCTCCTTACATCCTCTCTTTTTCCGCGTCCTCCTCGTCCCCATTTTACTCCTCCTGCCTCCCCCTCCTTTCCCAAGATAACTGCAACGCAATCCTTTTTTCCACTTTATGCTCCCCGCCTTCTCTGATCAAGGCAACTCGCCAGGGCAAAGTTGCTGGACGGGCTGGTGTGGATGCGCGGGGCTTGAAGAGGTCGTTGCGGGCTCAGACGGCATGCAAAAACCTGATCGGACAAGAACGGGAAGCGCCGCTTTAGTCTAATGGGCGTATTGGGCGAAGAAGAAAAGGAAGGCGAGGGCAACGAGGAGTCGATGACGAGGACGACGTGGCGAACGTGAGGATAGCGAGGAGGAGCATGAGAACAACGAGGAGGAAGAGAAGCACAAGGACGAGGACGAAGAGAACGAGGGCGAGTACGAGGAGGAATGCGGAGGGCGATGATGACGACGACGACGACGACGACGACAGAGGACAGTACGACAATTGGAGAAAGAGTACCAGGCAATTGGAGAAAGACGTTGTTCCTGGCGCCGCGCGGGGTTCTCTTGGGGCCTGTTGGGGGCTTCTTGGGGGCCCCTTGGGTCCTCTTATGGGCTTCTGGGGTCTTCATGGGCTGTCTGGGCGCGTCGTGGGGTTCTGTGGGAGCTTTCTTAGGCCGTCTCGGCGCTGGGGGCCTCCTGGGGCGCTCCCGGGAGTCTCTTGGGGCCTTCTTGGCCCTTCTTGGGCCGTCTTGGGGTTCTTGTGAGCTGTGCGGGTGGCTCCTAGAGCGCTCTTGGGGGTCTCTTGGGGTCTTCTTGGGGCGCTCTTGGGCGCTCCTGGGGCTCTCTGGGGCGTCTTTTGGGCCTCCCTTGGGCCGTTGGAAAACAGTCCAAGAGCGATGCGAACACGACGTCGACGTTTTGGCGTTATCTTGGACTGTCTTGGCGTTATCTTGGACTGTCGTGGGGCTCTGGGGGCCTGATTGGGGCCCGTGGGGAGCATTTTGGGAGCCTCTTGGATGCTTCTGTGACCCTCTTGGACTGTCCGGGAGTGTCTCGA